ACTTCCCTCACTTCACCCTGCTTTAACTGTAGTTATATAGCTGCTCACAGCCCCTACAGGTGAGGCTAATGACCTTGTTAGGCAGTGAGCCAGAACTCTATGGAAAACCTGGGCTGGACTCATGCACAACCACTCTGACAGTGGGTGGAGAATCGGCCCACCCTGCTCTTCCGAATACTCCACCCCAGGGACCCAAATAACAACAGAGGAAAAAACCTACATTTAAACTTAACTTTCCCTTGTGCTGCATGTGCTTACCCACATGTCAGGATAGTGGCTGTGGCTGTGCAAAAGTCTGGGTGCCAGATATACACCCCTGACCACCATCCCCAACACTCTGTTACAACATGTATGCATGGCCCTGCGGCTTCCTTTCTTAGGAGAACAACCCTTGGACGAGTGGTTGACAAAGCTCAAGCCAGCCGGCACGACCATGGGGGGACCATTCGGTATACGAAAGGTTATGGCCAAATACACGATCAGTCATTTTAAGTGAATGCAAATAAGCAAATGGTCTTTGCTCTCAGTGCCATGAAGCAAATATAGGTGTAGCAGATAGCCATGAGCTGCCCTGGGACTTGTATTATGTGTAACCTGTATTCGTCTATTTGCTAAATGTTTATGCAGTAAGGGAATGCATTTGTGTAAACTAGCTAAGTTCTATGTGTAAAATGTATTGGATTCATCTGAATGTTAGGTAGTTTCATTCCCTTAGTTTGTTCGAATGAAACTACCGAACAGTCAGACCTCCCCTGTGTGAAGTGTGCCTTCAATTACCCGTTGCAAAATTGTTGCGAACGGGTAATTGACAAGCTGTGTAGCAATCCTTTGTTCTCAGGGGTGTCCGCCATTCGGGAAATGAACACGTGGCAGCGGCCATCTTAAACTCCCGAACAGCAGTGTTTTGCCGTTGAGTGTCTGGAACTCAAAACGGACACTCGACTAGGCGAACACTGCTGAGACCTCCATCAGCCCGGTCCGTTCGGTACCAAACTACCGAACATCCCCTCGTTCGGTAGGCATAATCAACCGAACGAGGGGATTCAGGCGAACCCTCCCAAGCCTCTATAGCTGGAGGCTTTCAGGTACTTCAGTCGCCTTTTCCAGGACCGACCGCAGGGCCCAATCGCATGGAGCCCAATTCGGCTAGTTCAGCCAGCGCGGTCAGTCTGGGTGATTTTTGGATATGTTGTTCACCCAGATCAGGGCTACCAGGGGATATATAATTTAAAGTGGTACCCCTAGGTTTAGGGGTACATCCAGAAATGGGGGGAATTGCTGTACTGGATAAGGGGATTATGATGACGGCTGAGGGGAGGAGATGTGTGGCAGGTTACCAGGACAGGATTGGCTAATATGTTAATGAATGTAATCCCTCCCTTGCATGGGAGCATGCTTTAAAAGACCAGTGTGGAATAAAGCTTTCAGTTCTGCTCCTGAAACTGTGTGTCGTCCAGTTATTGGGATTGCTGTTGGGATACTGCTGTGTTATTTTGCCTGCTGCAAACCTTGCCTGTGGATTTACAATTTACTTGTTCCTGAGCCTCACTTGGATTATAAGCGGAGATAGCCTGGGGAATATTGTATCTCCGCTACAATAGGGACTGGACAAAAAGGGGTTTTGTGCACACGGTTGGGCTGAGGTTTCCAGGCAATAACAGGGGTTTTGTTACATGGCTCCCCTTTGTGGAACACCCCGGCAGACATGGCTTGATCCTTTTCGGGTCAGCTTGGGGATGTCCAGGCTGCTACTAGGGCATAAGTTCTGTTTGCCTGGACAGTCCGTCTGCATTACCTTTGTGCTTGCCAGGCCGGTACTGTATGGAAAAGTTATAGGGTTGGAGAGCCAAGCTCCACCTCAGTAGCCGGTTATTGTCTCCTGCCACTCAGTTCAGCCAGACAAGAGGATTGTGGTCGGTGATGTGGGTAAATTCCTGGCCATATAAATAAGGGTTTAGATTCTTTAGAGCCCAGACCAGGGCCAGGCATTGCTTTTCCACTGCCGCGTAGCTCACCTCTCTGGGTAACAATTTTCGGCTAATGTAGGCGACAGGGTGCTCCCCTCCATCCTCTCCGACTTGGCCCTGAACTGCCCCCAGTCCGTACATGGAAGCATCTGTATGGACAACAAAGGGTTTGTTAGGGACGGGGGCAACTAACACATGAGAGTTGATCAAAGCGTTCTTTAGGGCTTGGAAGTCTACTTCACAGGATGGAGACCACAGGACTAGTCTGGGTAGTTTCTTTTTGGTTAAATCGGTCAGGGGCTTAGCAATGGCACTATTTCTGGGTGAAAGATTTCAGGTACTTACGTGTATGCCTTCCATTGTACCTTCTCCCTGCTGTCCAAATACTTGTAAAAGGGTGTTTAAGTATATGTTTGTTACGGCACCCTCAGCATAAAAGGGTTAAACCACCGTTTAGTAGATCTTCCCTTCCAGAGATGCAGGAACAACTACTGCAGAACACCAATCAGCTGAACAGGAAACCATACGAATGCTGTAAACAGCCGAATAGGAAAAACCATACGAATAGGTTTACACTCCTAGCAGTCGAACTGGAACAGCATACAATAAATCCCCCCAAGAATGAGACAAAGCTCTGTGTTGAGTGTCAAGCAGTGAACAGTCAGAGCTGTGGGTTTATTGTGCTTATGTACACATTCTTACACATTAGTACCACCCACAGGGTTTTGGAACACAACCAATAAACCCATACAATACACTCAGACATTCCCACACAAATTCCTCCCCTCTGCTTGTGATTCAATTACCTTACAAAATGGGTAATGTAATTTAGCACAAGCAGAGAAATACAATTTTTCCACATTATTCATAACTTGAAAAGTATGCATCACATTCACATATTCAGAATCAGCATACTCCAAATACAAACATACGTCAAAATCATACAAATTGGTCCAGTGGTTCAAAAGATAGATTGTAGTCCTTTGTGACCACAGGAAGCATGGCATTTCTGCCCAAAACCAGTTCCACAGAGTCTTCTATCCTGGAGATAATTGTGAAGTAATCCAATTATCTCCAAAGACAGAGGCAAAACTCCACTGAACACATGGCAGCAAAAAGACAGTAAAATACAATAAAATACACAAGGTTACATTTATGACATAAAGTACAGACATGCAACATATGCCCAGATAGCTTAGGTCTGAGCGCACATTATTACTGAATGGCGCTCAGAGCACACACATACAGTTCAATTGCCATGGAGCCAAAGTCTTTCCCATAGTCTTTCATTATACGAATGGGCTCCATGGCATAGCTATCTGGGGTATCACTGCTCAAACAGGGCAAGCACCAAATGACCCGGCTTTCTTGTCTTTGCAGGGGAAAATCAAGGCTTTTAACATGGGGCCATAATCCAAAGGCAACAGTCGAGCAACCAGGCTTCTCCAATGCAATGTGGCGAGATTGCTCTCGTCACAGTGTTGAATAATTGTATTCGTCTACCGAACGAGAGACCACCCGCCCTGGGTAGCAATCAGCATTAGAACGTGGAGAAAAAATGCAACTTAATTGCTCCTAGGTGGCCGCCATTCGGCATACGAACATGTGGCGAGAACAAAGGATGGCGGCCATCTTTAAACTCACGAACGCGGTCAGCGGGGCGTACGCATGAATTGCCTGGAACTATTTTCGGCAAGGCAAACATGCGAATGCCCGGTCTTCATGGAAGTCCTGGATGAATACGTTCCCCTCCACGAATAAAACTGGCATTCGGTAGATAGAATCTACCGAACGAGGGGAACATTCGCATGTAACCAGCTGCGGCATACGAATGGTGGTTTTCGTGTTGTTAGATGCGAACAGAGACTGGCTCTTGCTACTGATTTTATGGAACTCTAGCTCGGATACTTCACATGGCGAGCCGGTCAAACTTCTACACGATGTGACACGGAAACTACCAAACGGAAATTCGTGAGATTTGGATATGTGACTACCAGTATCCTCAGCTGCCCAGGGATGTTAAAATTTTAGTTGTATGTATTGTAACGGATCGCCTGGCACCCCGACTGGGTACCTCCGTTGAAGGATGCTCCTAGCGCTTCCTGAGGACTCCAAGCACTGCAGCAGACACCACAACCACCGAACTGTAGGAGCATATGAATGCTCTCAAGCATATGAATGTTGAAAACAGCCGAATAGGAAAAACCATGCAAATAGGTTTACACTCCTAGCAGTCAAACTGGATTAGCATACAATAAATCCTCCCCCAATAATGAGACGACACTTCACTTTGAGGGTTAAGCAGGAACTGACTGTACTGGCACATACAGCCTCTTGTATTCCCAATCCACAAACTTAGTACTGCCCACAGGGTTTTACAGAACAACCAATCAATCTGTACAATACACACAGAACACACATGGAACGTCTTAGCAGGAGGCAGCATTTCAGCAACATGGTGGAACAGTACGTGTGCACACGCCTACAAGTACTGACTGATGGGTCTGCTACATTCAACTTCTGGGTCTTCAAATTGGGCACATGGCCTGAGCTTGCCCTTTATGCCTTGGAGGTGCTGGCCAGCCCTGCAGCCAGTGTATTGAGCACGGCAGGCAGTGGTGTATCCTGGTTTTGTGCTGCCCTAGGCAGGACAAAACTCAGACGCCCCCCCTCCCCCCCGCCCCACCTTCTAAATACACACACACACAGTCAGACACAAAAACACACACACACAGTCAGACACAAACACAGTCAGACACATACACACACACACACAGTCAGACACATACACAGACACACACAGTCAGACACACACACACACACAATCAGACACAAATACACACACACACACAGTCAGACACATACACACAGTCAGACACACACAGTCAGACACAAACACACACACAAACACACACAGTCACATACACACACAGTCAGACACATACACAGACACAAACACAGTCACACACACACTCACAAACACAAACACACAGTCAGACACACACACACACAAACACATTAACTTTTTTTTTTAATTTAAATCCCCCCCCAACCTCCTTACCTTTGGGAGTGCTGGGGGGGTCTCTCTCCCTGGTGGTCCAGTGGCTGCAGGGCGGGCGGCGCTGGCAGGCGGGCGGCTGGCGAGGGAGCACTTCCCATGAGCTGACTGCTCAGCTCCCTCGCGCGTCGGCTGCAGAGTGAGGCTGGGAACCGGAAGATGACGTCATCTTCCGGCTCCCAGCCTCACTTTGCGGTGCGCGTGGGAGCTGAGCAGTCAGCTCATGGGAAGTGCTCCCTCGCCGGCCGCTCGGGATGTCAGTTAGCCGCAAGGCTAACAAGGCATCTGCCCTGGGCATTTGGGGGGCGGCGTTTTTTGCCGCCCCCTGAAAAATGCCGCCCAAGGCAAATGCCTTGTTTGCCTCGCGGCTAATACGTCCCTGACGGCAGGGGGTGTTATCACAGACAAGCGTAGCTGCCTGTTCACAGCCAACGTGGACAAGCTCACATTTATTAAAATGAACCAGGCATGGATCCCACCAGACTTGTCTATACCTTGTGCAGAATAGACATTTATACCGGCCTCACCCAGCCATTGTTATACTCAAGTGCACTTATCCTTTGCTATCTTTTTTTTTTATATGTCCCAATTAAAAAAAAAAAAGTAAAAAACAGTGTTGCTACCTCCTCCTCCTCCTCCACCGCCGCTTCCACCTACACCACCACGGTCACCGCCTCCTCAACCTCCTAATCCACATCCACCTCCTAGTTCAAGATTATTATTTTTAATTTTTATGTATTTTATGTTATATTAAGTGATTTCCTTATCCACATTTGTTTGCAGGACACTTGTCCTACTTTTACCCCCATTTTACTTCCTTTTGCAGCCACCTAGCTCTTTCCAGGACTAAAACTTTGGGACCCCATTGACTTTAATGGGGTTTGGTGTTCGGGGTCAAGTTCTGCCCCGAAGCTGGACTTTTTTTCGAAGTTCCGCCGAACCCG